GTTGGGCCCGGATAGGCTCGTTTAGGACCGCTTGAACCGACCCACTTCCCAGCCGGTCCTGGTCTCGCGGGCCTCGCCTATGGGACCGGCCCACTACCCAGCCCACCTCACCACGATCCCGGTCCTATCCGGTTAGGACCGTTTAGGCCCACCGCCCATATAGGCTTGCGATCCTGGGCCGGGCCCGGTCCTAACAGACCCACATGCCACCCTTACCTGAGATTGCCTAATTCTTAGGTAATTCACAGATTATGAAAATACCCGAAAGAAAATGAGGCAAAATCAAATATTAACTTTGGCATCTAACAACAAAACTCATTCGGCAGCATTGAGGCTCACTTATATTACTGTCAATATGAGTAAAAAGTAATGCAACAATCAATATCTAAAAGCTTAAATAAAACTTCAGACATGCCTGAGGACAAGATATTCAAAGGAAAGATTGGAGTTCTTTCAAATTCTTCACTCCCTAATAACTCTAAGAAAAGCATAAATCCTTCTTCACAGGTCTTGCACGCTCAAACCTGCAAACTCAGAAATGTACTCCAACTGTTAAATTCATGAGCTCAAGCAATATAAATGAGCCACTAATAACAGGACTATCTGCATTCTTTTCAGCAGGTTTGAGTGGGTTAAATAAAAACAAAAAGGTGGAAATATACAGTGTTAAGATCTTACAAAATAATGAAAGGCACAGACATAAAGACATCACAGAGATTCTTTGTAATTTTGATAAGGATAAAGATATAACAGAGAATATCACGATAATTGGCAAAAATATAGCAGTCAAAGAGTGCGAACCTGGAGGAAGTGATTGCTTCAACTTGTCAGCCTTCTCAAAGTCGGACACACACAGTGTGTAAAGGTACTTGGAGCAGCGAACCTTGAACTTGACCATATCCTTGTTCTTCTTGATCTTAACAGTTCGTGCATCTTTCCTTCTGGCTGTGAGAAGGAAATCCTTGATCTCGTGGATTTGCTTTGGCTACAAATAAACGTATATTAAATGCTCACTGTGTCAAATTGCATAAAAAGGAACAAACAGAGCACAAAGAAGTCTTCAGCAGGCTAAAAATACAACATCGACTAATAAAATCTTCTGATGAAACATTTGAAAAATAAGGGCAACAAGAAATCGCATCAATAGCATATTTTACAACCAAAGGATGGAATATTGAGACAGGAGAACAATTTTTTTCACAAAGAAAGAACTTTAGGCATATATAACTATTACAGAGGAGCAGGATAGTGGGTAAGATAATACTAAAGAAAATTAGCCAAGAAGCTGGAATTTTGAGTATGGATTTATATAGCCAAGGCCAAATAGTTTGCCATTAGGATGCAATTGATTGAGATCAATTTATGCCACCTAACAAACTAGCACGATCGTCAAAGGTGAAGTAGGACTAGTTTCACAGGATTTGACCTCTATACAAAATGAAAGAAACAACTACTACTAACAGTATTAGTGCATCCATATCATGAAATTATTTCAGTACGCGCGGACTTGTCCTCTATATATATTCTGAATAACAAACTTAAAAAAGTTCTTGAACTCGCAATGCCATGGCCAAGCCTGTTCCAAAAGTGGGTAGAGCAGATAAATCTAACATTCATTCTATAAATCCCAACATTTTAGCATTTTCCTGCAAAAGCTTTAAATCTTTATCAAAATCAACTACATCCCCACCCCCACCCCTCCACACCCCTAAACCTCAATCCATGTTATGCAGGTCTAAACCGTGTCCAATTTTTTCCTTTCCTTTCCTTTCTTTCTTTTTCTTTTGGCTCCAGGTCAGCTTGCGACACCACCACAGATACTGGGTAAGGCAGCCCACCCAAGCTTAGGCAGATGGTAAGAAGTCACCTAGTGTTTATTTTGCCTCTATTGTGATTTAAACCTGAATTCTCTCCTTTTCTTTTCTGAATAATAAACTAAAAACTATTGTATTCCAAAAGCAAAACTTCCATAAAATGGACAAACATGTTGCAAATTAGGATTTTGGAGCAAATCCAATAAAGGGAAAAGGAGTAAAACCTAACACTTCTTCCATAAAACAAAAATCAAGATTCACTACAGTTCAGAATCGTAAAACAAAGATGATATAATACGGAATAACTATCAGGTCAATATTCTAAAGCAAAGAAACATAATAGAAAATTTGATATGCAAAATGAGAAGAAGAGAGGAGAAAATGTACCATCTTTGGGGTTTCAAGTGGTGCTGAGGAGGAAACGACGGCGAGTACAAGAGATGGAGAAAAGGAGGGGGGAAAAACAAAGCAGTATAAATATGCTAAAGCCCTAGTGTCGCTCATAATTTTATTTGTATTTAACTTTTGTCACGGGGTCAATGGGAAATTTTCACAAATAGCCATTGTTGAGGCCATTATTTAAATTTTGTCCATTTTGACCGATGTTTAGATTTTGGCTACACAACGCAACCAGTTAAATCAGAAATTTGAGCGACAACTATAAAGCATGATCTACATCTTCCACTGGTACTATTATAAATTTTCTTTGTGAACTTTAAGGGCATGTTTGGAAAGTCACCGGGTAATTGAAACTGGTATAATTATTATGATAGTAATTACACAACTTAGTAATTACAACGACATGTTTGTTTGTCATAGTGTAATTACAATTTTACTGTTTGGTTGCATAAGTGTAATTACACAGTTAGATTAAATTTTAAATGAAATAATTATCAAAACTTAAAAGCTAATAGAATAAATGCATGCCTATAAATTTTTATAAGTATACATGATATTATATTTGGTATTTAAGATATATATTTTTCGTGAATATACATTAAATAGTAATCATATATTTATAACTAATATTGTAAAATAATTTTTATATATATTCTAAATTAAAAATATTTAGTTTAGATACTTACAAAAACTAAAAACATACGTTTTGTAAGAACATCATAGAATTCATATTTGATAAAATAAATTAATATTTATAAATATAATGTCATAACATTATTCAAATATTTAATAAAACAAATCTATCAATTCTAACTAAAAATTGAACAACATGCAATATGAGCCAATACTACTAAATCAAGTAAATTGGAATCATGAATATAACACAATATCAAAATTCAAAAAAAAAAGTTTAACATATGTCAAATTTCGACATAATAATCGTAAGTTCCACTACAACTTAAGATTAGGAAACATAATAAGTTTATAACCACATTCAACAACGAAATTCCACTTTATTGCATCACTCATTATATGCCAAGTTTGTTAGTGACTCATTATTTCTAATATTAGGAGGTGTAGTTTCAAAAAATAAAATAATAAAATAAATAAAATATAAAATATAAGCAATTACATAGAATCACAAGAAGTAAAGGTAGAGAAATAAAAGATA